GGGGGGGGGGGGCAATCAGTACGCTACTTGTCTCTGTCTTGTCTCCCGCGTCCGGGGCTTCCGGCTTGTCAGCAGGGATCATCTGCAGAGCAAGGACTTGGCTTCTGCTTACACTCTGGGGGGCGTCGGATATCATCTTGCCCGAAAAAACAATAATCTTCTATAGTCGGGTTGGATTAAGCTGACTCTAGCCACCGGATTTGCGGTCACAAGCAGGGGACGTCGTAATCCGCGACAAGGCGAACGACAACGCCTGCGGCGCGTCGGGTAGGCCCGCCCGCCAAGCGTCTGTGTGGAGATGGTGGCCTACCCTCAGCGCCCGAGCGGCGATACCCCCTGCCCTCTCCGGGCCCCCGAGGAGGTCGCGGGGGTCTATCTCTGTCTCTCTTTTCCCGTAGGAAGGCCGGTGGTGCGAGCGAGAGAGAAGACCAACCCGCTTTGGTCTTTGGGTCCCACGGCACCGCGATTGCCGCTCGCTCATGGGACCCGAAGCCCAAAGTGCTGGGACGACTATACTACGTGCAACACTACGGAAAGAGTTCGTTAGGCTTTTTATTTATATTTGTTAGTGGATTTAGTCTCGAGCGGCGAGTCGACTCACGGTGAGGCGTCCTCATGAGGCAGAGGCAGCTTGCCTCGGAGGTTTTCATAGCCAATCACAGCCCTGAGAACCTCTGAGCTGCGCGAGCGCGAATGAGGAAGGAAGGACGGCTCACGGGGAGGGGGAGACTAGATCCACCATTTGTTGTTAGTGAGCGGAGGTAAGAAAATTACTGTCGTTATTTTCATTTTGTTTAAGTTCTTCTTCGTAAATTACAGATGTATCAATGTAGTGTCATAGAGACACCTCTGTCTGTGCGTAGGTGCGGAAGAACGCCAACGTGACAAGTCTCATTCGCAAACTTATTTACATAACCTCATTCTGAATTTACTGCTATGTACCAAACTTTTTTTTGACATTTCTCTAAGGCAAATTTAAATGCATTTCTGAAACATCTTCTGTTTCACTTGTATCATGCTGTTAGTAGTTGGTGTTTAGCTAAAGATGTTGGATCTAGAGAGAATGAAAACTTGCAAAATAATAGTGCCCAAATGACACCATTAACCCTGAAAACAAGTTCATTGCTTTAATGATTAAGATCAGCGTTTTCGCTCTACAATGGCTCTACCATGATATGTCTGTAGGTGTTATGTGTTATTAATAATATATTAGAAAATAATATATTACATAAAGGTACAAACAGTACTGTTAAAAGGTGACACTGCACTGAGAACAATACTCGTTCTTCTTACCACCAAGAAGGGGAAGTGGGCTGGTAAAGAACAGTAAGGAAAGCCAAAAATGGGGTCAAATGGAAACTTGCTTGATCTTTTTCATTAAGATCGATGCAGTGAATGTAACTAAGGCCATTGAGGGTAATTGTTGAACCCGCTCCTCATTCCGTCTCCCTCACAGCTCTAGTTCATGACTCTCCCCGGGATAAAGATGCAGAGGTACGGAGGGAAATAATTATACTTGATAAGTAAAGTGAGTATGTTTTAAAAAGAAAAGAGCACCAGTTTGGTCATTGTTTTCAAGTGGGATTGTAATGTTTTGTTCACGTTTAGTGAGTTAGCAGAAATAAATTTTGAAGCCTCTGAAATCGCCAAATGTCTTTAACCTTTCTGATTGCAAAAGGGAATGGAGGACACAATGAAGCAAGACCGGAAGAAAAGAGGGCTTACAATTTTGCTAAGTTTTACTTTATTTATTTTCATGAAATCTTACAAATATTAATTATGATGTGTTTAGGTTCATTTTTTTTACTCGTTCTTTACCACCACCTGCACCTACTCAGTGGTAGAAGAACGAGTATTGATCTCAGTGCGATGTCACGCGTAACGCTATTCATGCTCGGAGTACAGAATATGTACACTTATGATACTTGTACCATTCGAAACTGGGAATGTTGTAGGCGTGACCAACAATGGACCTTTTTTCAAGTTTGACACTACTTTTTTGAGAACTCTTAACAAAATTCGCCGGTTTTCGTTCTAAGTCGATAGACCCGTGCCGCACAACGAATCTTCATTTTGGAACACGAAGCGCATACAGACATGACAATACTACCATTCGAAAGTTTGTTTGCTAGTATTACTGGGAGCAATGAAGATTGTTTTGGTCTAATAGCAAAATTTTGAGAACTCTTAACAGATTTCACAAGTTTTCAGTCTAAGTCCCGTCTGCCGATGTTGCTTCTGCTATTGTGCAGCCAACTGTAGATTCATTTTCATTTTGGTTTTCACGGAACGCGCATCTTTTTGAAAGCGCCGACTTTTGCAACAATGCTCTTGTCTTGTGACCTGAAGGGAATACCGAGAATAGCGCCTGTTTTAGCCTTCTTTTTAATTTCGTCATCATCCAGTTTCATATGGTACATGTTTAATAATAATATATATTCTCAGAGAAACGTGACACATGTTGACAGAACAACACTCGTTGATTCTACAACCAGCAACAGAGCACTGAAAGGGTCTCTGTAAAGAACGAGTACCAGTATTCACACAAAATTAATTTTGTGTTTTCTTTCCTCCTTGTTTTTATCTCCTCTTTGATTTTGCACTTTTTTCTATTCAAAGACAGAAGGATTCCAGTCCATGCCAACTGAATGCTCTTTTTCTCTTTAGTCGTGTAATGTATTATAAAATGTAAAGTAAATAATATGAAAACAGAGTTAAAAGTGCATGAATATTTATATATTCCACCTGTGAACGTCTGACGTTGAGTTGACATTGTTTGTCCTAGGCAATGCTTTTGAAGCATGGCAAGTTAATGTTATGCAGCTCCCTAAAACTGTAGAGTGTCCAGAGAGGAGTCGGTGTAACCATGATATGTAGACTAAAATTCTGTTTTTACCCTTGTTGCAGGAAGACCGTCTATTAGTTGCATCTGCCCTTGACATCAGCTAAGCAGCCGTCAGCTGTCATGCTGAGTCGTCGTCGCAGCACACAGCATGAGAAATGGACCCTTTTATGATCACAGGAATGAATCTGGTAAGTTTTGACTTTTAATGTCCATTGTGTTGGAAAATACCAGTACGTTATGGTGGTCATGTTATGTTAAGTATTGTTTCTATTTTGGGGGTTTCTTGTTATTTCTCTACTGTTTGTATGCTCACTCCATATATACAGCTCATTACTTGATCCTAAAATATGTAGTCGTGTGTTAATTTATTGGAGGGAAATGGAGGCAAATCATTAGAGTGTCTCTTACAGTAGTGCTGCTATTTATTTCATTTCTATGGTACAGTCCTAGTAAAATAGGAAGTGATGCTAGTTCTTGTCCAAAGGGATGTGCCTGGACTGGATGCTGGCCACCTGTAACAGAAATTTCATTCAATGAGCTGGCGTCATAGTGATACATATGGACCAGAATACGTTTGAGTTGAACTCTGAGATATTTTGAAGTTAACTTAGATTTTTATCTTTTTTTTCAGGTATTCAGATTCGCTACAAGTCACCAGCAGAAACAAGCCGGCTACTTGAGGAAGACTTTACTCTTATAATGTAAATGATTTAAAACAATAAAGAATTAAAAATGACTACTACATTTTACTTGATTTCATACACCTAGTTAGCTCGAAGCTGTGGTAACTGTGGAGGTAGTAGCAGACTGCCACCACTACAGCAGTGACGTCACGGACGTCTCGGGAG